TATTGTTGTTAGTTTTGTTTAATAAGGTTTATTTAAACATTTATAAAATCTACTTATCAAAGCTATCTTTTGATCAAATCCGTATAAATGATCGCATCGCATTCTTAAGTTGTTAAAAACATATTATTACGATATTTCATATCACACGTTAAGAGAAGCTTTTATTTTGTATGCGTTTTATTTGTAGCGTTTCAAGAGAGCGTTTATCGTTTAGCGTATATTTCGTTAAGCGTGTATCGTTTTGCGTGCGTCAGTAAATTAGTTTGTTATAGTCTCTGTGTAATTTTTGTTCGTTAAGCGTGTAACGTGTATGCGTTTTTTTCACAGTGTGCTTTTGCGTTTAACCCTTCTGTACGATATCATATATGAAGGATATTAAATATACATATAAGAGGTATAGAACGACAGGCACACAAAACGGACCACAATGTCAACTTAGAAGAATTTAATCTAATCGGCCACTCTACAGGAACATTCGAACTAATGATAAATGCTTCTGATTTAGTATGGGGTGATTTTTATCACACAACAACAAGACTTTGAACACTGTTAGAATATAGGACTACATTATGTCGGCACATATTAGAGACAAGCTATCAGTGTTCAAGTGAATGATAAAGACAACGAATCACATGTCAGTCGGGGTAATTTAGATAAAGCGGTGACAATATCGAAGTGTTGACAAGTGTGAACAAATAAATAGCCGACACAAAAGTCGTGGTTATATATTACTTTGATATGTTTCTTCTAAAAATAAATAAACTGGCAATTAGACCCGTGAGATTAAAAGAAGTATTTTTATAAGTACTTTTCTTCAATATATTTTTGATTATAATCCTACCGTGAATATCCAGTAACGACGAAATGTGAAAATAACGCACGTTTGTGCAATAAGTAACGCATAATTGTGCAATAAATGGCGGATACCTGACAGGGTTTCCAACCTGGTAGTTAAATGGCCAATATATTTTTATCTATCGGAACTGTAAAAAAGGAATAGCCGCATACGGCTTCGAAGACATTATAATTATTTATCCCTCATAAGATTTCTTCCAGTTGTTTATTTTTCAAGATCGTTCGTGAAAATGGTGACTCGTGAGTGATTTAGATTTTTTGTCGGCTCTTACAAGTACAACAACGCATATTATGCCGTATAATTTCGATTTTCGGTAGGCAAGAGACATTTACTAAACTTCTGGTGACATTGAAAATGGAAAATAAGCTGATAAAATGTTATTAAAGCCGTTTTTATGAGGTAACCCCGATATACGTGAAAATGTGTTTTTTTGTTGTTGTTTTTTTTCATATATGGTACTGAATTATTACACAGCTTGAAGACCTTTTATTCATTTAACCGTCTATTTTTGATTTTGTCTGGCTATTATTACTGATCAGCACATCGTATATAAGAGACTTCCTTTCCGACTGTTGGTAAGTAATTAGATGGCGATTTTTTACTTTGGTATCATTTTGCTTTTATGATAATCCGTCAAAGCTTTTTCTGAAGGAACGTATTATACATTTAAATTCAAGAAAAGGAAATAATTGTCTAAAATTCCCGATTTGGAGGGTAATACATTTATCGTACATAACTTCATGATAACAGAGGTATGTAGAAATAGAGGATATGTGTTTGTTTGTGTGTAAGATGAAATTTTATTTCATCAAGTGGGCTTTAAAAACAGTATTCTCACGAGTGGCGTAGCCACGAGTGAGAATACTGTTTTTAAAGTTCACGAGATGAAATAAAATTTCATCTTACACAACAAACAGACAAATTTTCTTTTTATTTTATGCTTTAAAACAAGTTAAAACGAAATTTCCATAATTTTAACGTTAATATTAAAATCTGTTTCCCCCATTGAGAGCCCCATTTAGAGGGAATTTCTCATTAAAAACAAGAAGTCTTGAGCTGAAAAATAAGTCCTCCAATCCAGGTTAAATGACGGTGATATTTATTCATTTTATTAAAAAATATGAATGATCGCTTGTTTTAATAATAAAAACAAACAATTCTTGTAGGAGAAAAAGTCCAACCATCCATCCATATTTCTGTTACTTACTGCGAATTTATATTAGACCTGGCTTTGTAAAATGTAAGCGGCAGCCATTTTTTAAAGTTGTGTATTTCATGGGAGGAAAATAATTGTGTAAGATTCAGAAGGATATAATTTGGATTTGTTAATCATACACCTTTTTAAAAGAAAGAAAACTTATTTGAGGATTGTAACAGACAAAAAATAAGTGTTGACAGAAGTGAAAACATTCAGAAAAGGAGCTAGGAAAATGGAAAACTTGGAAGCTTGCTAAGGCATTGTAAGGAACGCTGGGTTTGTTTTACGTATTTTACGAGTGATGGCTGTCAATGCTTTTCAATTTTTCATTAAGCATACGGCAGTTATTGCTCGTAGGATACTTTAATATGCCCAAATGTCATCAAGAGCAGTTTAGCATGGGGAAGGAATGTGTTTTTCAGACTGTAAAAACGAAACAAAAAATTTAGAGACGAAATTTTGTGATTGGAATTTGAAGGAATAGAAGTAAGTTTTCTCTCTTTATTACTTTTGAACTTTAAGTTATTTATCTTTTTCAGCTTTGCTATTTTTTTAACAGCCCGATATTGTCAGAATTGTCAGTAAAAATAAAATTGAGGTACCACATGGGGAAAATCTTGAAAAAGTAGTTTCGTCATTAAAAAAAGTGAAATTATATTTTGATAATTTTCACTGTGAAATTATCAAATATAATTTTCACGGATAAATCAATAATCCACTGAAAATCATAAAATAAGAAATTGCTCTCCTTTGTTACAAGATTGTTCAATTTTGTATATATTTGTTGGGTTTCATCATGGGTTTCGCATCAACAAAGTAGCAATTGTATTGCGACATTTTAGCTTGCCTGATGGCGGGAAAGATGTAATTTCAAGGCCCTATTTCCAGTGTAAAATGTGTAAATGCAATAATATTGAGCAACACTAAAAAATCTGCAATCAACATAGTTGTATCTATTTAAAGGAAAACTCTATTTTTAAGCGTATGAAGAAAATGGTGTAATATATACTAACTTTGACATCTAGAAGTATTATTTGTTTGGTCAAGCCTTCATAATGTGAATCAATAAGTCAAATATATATTCATAGCTATGTGTTTAATATTTCCTGACGACCGTTAGTTTTGTTCTGTAAATTAGTTCTTAGACTGATACGTTAACGTCATTGCAAATGATATGCTGTGACAAAATTGCTATAATGGTTTTGTGTCAATGAATGTGTACAGTGTAATGACATCTTGACATATAAAAACACTAAAAATGCACATTTTTTTTACAATGCGAGGGTAGATATTATGTCATCAAAACAGATTCATTATACACGTTTTTGTTTAAACCATTTATGTATAACCCCTTACCTGCAACTCATTTGATAGCCCTTTTAAAATCATCTTAGAAAAATTGCCATATTATATCTCTGTATTAAAATTATTATTCTAACACGACCCGCATTTTTCCCTATTGAACATAGAAGAACAGAAAGTGTGTGTTATTATGCAACAGATGCACAGTTTGACGTTCTATATTTAGACATGTGACGTAATCATTATACACGTGACGTAACCACTAAAAATCCCACGCGCTGAAAATAAGTACGGGCAATTTTGCTTATCTATCAAGTACTCAACATTTATTTGTTGATGTCGTGTTAGAATCAAAATAATATATCCAAATCAGTGATTTTATCGCTTGATAACATCACTGTTTGTCGTTCGGATGCGCATCATTATATCACTCGGACTACGCCCTCGTGATATAATTCCTCGCATCCGAACTCCAAACAGTGATGTTATTGAGCGATAAAATCACTGTTTGGGATATATTATTTCTTAATTATATTACTTTCAAATAAAAAAACATATATATAATATATATATAATCACACAACGGGTACTCTTAAAACAAAATCAAAAGATTTTCGTTTACACCTGTTTTAAATATATAATAAGTGATGGAATTGTCCGCACTGTTCACTTGTTCAATTCACGATTGAATTTGTTAATTGCTTCAAAAATAGTAAAACAATCCGTATCTTTGAGGTATACATTGTTTAATTTGAATGTACGATTTATCTTGTTTAAAAGATTATTATATAGGGTAACGTCAAAACAAATGTTAGTTATATGTCGGTGAAGGGTTTCTGTACCAATGGACCTAGCAAAGCAAATGCAAATATTACGTTTTTAAGAAAGGAACAAAACAACAACAACAACTGCATCCAAAATGTGGTTGGTTGGATTCATTACCATGACAATTATGAAAAAAGACAAAAGGACAATGCGCATGTTGTGCAGGTTTTTAATTTGATTATTATCAAAGGTAACTGTCCAAAAACCCATGTAATATAAAAAAATATGTTTATAATTGTGTGTGCATAAAAATGATGTATATTTCCATATACACTGTCGATTGCCTTCACTATCTTTTTCTTGGCTTATGAAAGATATTTTCTTTTATTTTTTATTAAGTATAATATCTTCATTTTCAACTTATTCAAAATTGAATTATATGAAATTAGACATAATTGTGTTTTATATATAAAACCTTACATTATTAATTTTAATTATTAAGCTGGGTTTCTACGAAAAATATGGAAACACATTAATGATATCTTGAATATATATTAAGAGAATTTTAATTCTTAAAATAATACCATAAGTACCATGTTACAAGGGTTATTATATGATATATTTTGTAAAATAACAAAACATGCCAATATATCGAGAATTAAACCACATTTAATCTATATACATTTGGTTAAAGTGAATGTAAAAATATTTAATGATACCAGAATTATCATAAGTGTAAGATAAAGTAGATATAACGTATAAAATGAAGTCAGGTTTAGTGTCCAAAATTAAAAACAGGCAAAGTCCTGTCACATGTCTCGGTTGTAACATGTATCCAATGGCGAACAAATGATTTGTCACATGACAGAATTTATTGACGATAGTAGGTATAAAAATGTAACGCCCATCAAATTAAAATCAGTCGATTTTTGTTTGTGCATAGACAGGGGAAAGTATATTAAAGGATTAACATCTGAAAGCGATACATGTAAGTTGTTATTTTGGCATGTATGTAAATAAATACTAATTATTGTTTTTCTATTGTTTTACAGACTACGAGTTTTGACTTATTCACTGTAATAAGAAAGCAAATTTTCGTTTTACATTTTAACAACTCAATTTTACGCATCACGCGCAAACAAGCATCCATGCACGCACCAACACTCTCTCACACACACGCTATGCTGCTTTGTTGGCCATAAGGTCCGAACTCAGCTTATTATAAGATAACATCTCTATTTGAACTGGTAGCTGTTAAGAACGGAGCTTAAATTATCCATGTTAAATAGAACAAACAGAAGAAACACTATACATTTGTAAGTACAATAACCATAAATGCTTGCATGACAGCATATCTGACTAAATTTCACATTTAGACACGGCATGAAGAACCCTGATGCGAAAATAAAACTGAAAAAATAATCCCGACAAAAGCAGCCAACTTAAAATGTTACAACTCGGTTTGTGTGGTAAGAAAACCCAAAACACCCTTATTTAGTCCATGCGTCAGCTTAAAATGACTGAAGGGGGCGGGGGAAATAAATAGATACCTACCGTGACCGTTAATTTAAACAACAATAGATTTAACTACAAACATTGACCACACTATTCAGACATAAAATTACTACATGAAAAGGCTTTATTCTTAATTCAGTTTGCGTTTAAACATTATTTAGTTACCATTATTGTCAGAATACGTTGTAACTGACGGGTGTAAGAATCTAAAAAAAAAATATGTTTTATCATCTGCATTTATAACTTCCGTCTTTGTAAAGCTGTAATATAAACTTCTTATTATATTCACTCTTTTTAACGTCCATCTTTCACCAAATTGGCTATAAAATGCGACTTGAATTTGAAACAGAAACAAGATTATGCGAAATCAATCAAATCCACAGAAAAACTTATTCTGTCTTCGAAAAACAAAAACAACGGAGTCGATAGTATAGCGGTGCGATCCTTTTTATTCGAGCTGAAATGGTTCGATACGGAATAATGGCGGAGAAAAGAGACAAATTCTGTAGGTAAGAACCAGTTTGCTTCAAATAGTTGTTGTATGTTGTTATTGCTGTTCGAATGATTTAATTCATGCAGAGTGGAATATATATTTGATGGACAAAATAATCTATTTCATTGTAGATGTATTTGTTACTTCAAATGCCACCAGAAGTCTGACATACTTATAAAAGAATACGTTATAGAAAAGATATTTGATTACTTAAAGCAGCAATGTGTTTACTATAAATAACAAAAAAATGTTTTCACTATCTATTTCGCATATGTCTACACTATTTCCGTATTTCTTACTGTATGCATGCTCGGTTTGATTGAGCCTGTTCATTGACGGAATTGGAAACTGCAAGTTACCGTTTACCACCCCCCCCCCCCCCGAGCACCGACTTAAGCAGAATTCAACATTTAACATGAATTTGGTGAAATTTTGAATTAAGAAACATTCGCAGATGTATTCATACGGCAGTTATCATGGAACCTTTAATATGACACAGAAGTGCCATTCCATGAAAAGCGGCGTATGATCGCAAGTAAAATCAAAGCACTGCAAGCACTGAGGTATACATTGCTTTACATCAAGACCATGTGATTTTAATCTACTGAACTCAATAGAAGTCATCTTCTGGTTACAGTCAATTTCGAACACAAATCTAGTCTTATGTCTTCTCAAGTTATTAATAGGACAAGAAAGAGGTGTTGTTCCTACAGACTAGTGCTGTGTTTTTCCAGGCAAGACTATATGGTTTGCGAAACTGAAGAGCAATACAGAAATCAGTTTGCAAAGACCGGTTTTTTATCTGCAGTATACAATGCTGAAATAGTAAAATAGAGTCTTCAGTGCTTTTATCTATTACTTTAAAAACAAGACCAACATGCGGGTTTGTAGTCTACAAAAATGTGGTATTGAATCATTCAGCAAGACTTAAAAGTTAGGTGAACATTTTTGTTTACATGCAAAACGCATTCACTGGAAAAAATGCACTCCATAGTGCAATTATTGATTCAAAATAAAAGCATTTGTACTTGACAAAATTAAGGCATCAAAGCCCTAAGCTCTTGCCTTGTACATTCTTAAATTTTTACTACAAGTACATTACGAAAATTAATGACTCCCCCCCCCCAACCCTCCCACAAGGCAAATTTTATCCCAGGGCTAAAATTAAAACAATCTTGGTAGAGGTCGACTACACTATGTTTCATGCCAAATATCTTACCTCTAGTCTTTGTCCATTCAGAGGAGAATACTGTTTAAGTTTTTTTTTTCTATACATGTATATACATTTAAGGAAATCCTTAGACACCACGGTGCCTGGTAAACCTTGTACCTTCAGACAAGATTTTTTTTAAGTGTTTTACTTTATACATACCATATAATGAAAACCTAAAAAGACTCCTTGGCAGAGCCATTTTGACCCCAGGGCTATAATTTGAACAATAGTGATAGAGGTTTACTACACATGTAAAGGTTTCATGCCAAATATCAAACATCTAGCCTTTGTCAATCCAGAGGAGAATATTTTTTATGTTTTTTTTTCTATACATGTTTATACATTTAAGGAAAACCTATGACACCCTGGTGCTATTTCACTAGGGGCAACATTTGAACAACTTTTGGTAAAGGACGTACTGATGATATTATTTACCAAGTATCTAAGCTCTAAGCCTTAAACCTTCTGATAAAAAGATTTTTTTAAAAAGTTTTTGCTATATACATATAAGGAAAACCTTAATATATGACCCCAGGGGTGAGGCTAATTCTGACCCTTGGGCTGTAACGTGAATAATCTTGGTAGAGGTTAACTACCAAATGTTTTCATGACAAATATCTAACCTCTAGTCTTTGTCAATTCAGAGGAGAAGATTTTAAGTTTTAACTACATACATATCAGGAAAATCTATGAACCTAGTGCAGGCTAATTTGACCCCCAGGGGTATAATGTGAAAATCTTGTGAATGTCTACCAGACAATGCCTTTTTGTAAAATATCTATGCTCTAGGCCTCATTTAAGTCTTTTGAACAACTTTGGAAGCCCTTTACTCATGGAACAACCCTGTCAAGTTTGGTTGAAATTCGACAAGATGTTTTCAAAAGATGTTAACTATATAATGTATAAAACACACACACATGCACGAATGCATGCACACACACACAAAAGAGGAGAATCGCTATATGCCAACACAGCATCCACATGCATCAGACCAGCAGTCCAACACATTTTCAAAAAAATAAAATAACAATTACATTGTTGATGTGTTGAAAGCCTTGTGAAATTTAATAAAAGCTTTTCATTCCAAACTGTAATAAACAAACAAAATGAGGTATGGTACATGTTATGGTCAACCAAGTGGATCTCATTGGAGCCAGGTGGAGAGGAGTGTGGGAATCCAAAGATTAGTAAATCATGTTTGCTTACTGAGTGCATCAGAAAGTATTTAAGCACTAAGTTGAAATTTATACGGCATAATGCACTTTATGTGTGGTAATATGCTATATATCAAAATTAAATACAAATGTACTCAGTATCTTTTTTTTATGTTAACTATAAACTAAAAGAATTAATAAATTTCTTTTATATAATCTATGAATTCAGTTTATAGTATCTTTTTTGGTTTGACTTTTATCACAGTCTGTGCTTTTTGTGATACCATACTATTGTTTCCGGCACCTTTACTCCAAGTAAGCAAATGAAGTAATTGAAGACCAGGACCTTGAGTGTAGTAACTTCCTTTCTGAGTGGGGGATCTGAACATCACTGTCTGTCCTGTCCACCATGTCTCGATATCGGATTTGTCTTGGTACAGACCACCCTGTCTCATGGTCTGCAAGGTCCTGCATGTATGGCCAGCTGGGACTGTTTAATGTCACCGAGGAGAACTCCATATAGTTTTTTGACAATCAATAAATATTTTACAATCCAATAGGAAAAAAAAATGATTCATGTAGTATCTTTTTTAGCTAAATCCTTTCAAGCTATCATCATCGTGTACAATAAAACTTACTGGTAAGGAGTTAATTAAGGGCTTCTCCCCCTAATACAAAAAAGGTCAAATTAAAAAGTAGTACTGTTACAATGCCTTATCAAAAATAAAGTCACATATATAGACAATAACTAAATATTTAACAATATTGATTTAATACAAATAAATCATTAATATATGCAGTCCTGCCAATAATGAGCTGAAAATATTTATCAATTTCAAAGAGTGAGAAAATGAAATGCAGCCTGACTAAAACTCAAACCAGAGACACTCAGAATACCATACCTCAGCACTACCAAAAAAACCCAGAACCGTTGGAATACCATACAGCAGCTCTACAGCTTAAATATTTTCAGTCTCATAGTTCTATGCATTGACATAATCCACAGCATATTGAAATTTTTCCTTTTTCATTGGCACACTTAAGTAACAAAGTGAATTGACTTATGATTCAGTTATGTACCATCATAAACATATATTGGACCCTAAAAGTAACAGGGTGAAAATATCACAGGGTGAGAAAAATGTGCAGTTTGACCGGAATCAAACCTGAATCAGAATATTATACATGTATGTGGGCTGTACTGACTCACTCAGCTGAGCTATCTAGCTGGCAATGTCAATAATCTATTACACATGGGCATAGAAGTCAAAGAAACATTCATTGATAATGACCCATTATTTAAAGTAAATCATATCAGAAGCATCCCTTGAAAATGATATCATTTCATTTTGACCCACAGTTGTTACCACTACCTCCTAATGGGCCTAATTAAACTGAGCCTGCAGAATTTTATAATTTTGCTGTCTGTCAGACATGGCAATTTCTTATGGGTTTCATCTTTATTTCCATTTGAAGGGATGTAACTCATGTTTACTAAATAGTTTGTTCTTATCTGTCTATCTTAGCCATTACAGACTATTCTAGCTGTATATAAACATAAAAAATCTTTTATATTAACAAACAGAACATAATAAGATGAAAAATTTACCAGT